ATATTCTATGTTAGAAGAGTCTACTACATAAGGATATATTTTGACTTATTGTGGCAAACTGCCAAAAATACTTACAAATGAGTCCCAGTGCTGCATGTGCACTCACGGTCAGTATGACTTTGCAATTTTTCCATTAAGAGGGGGAAATGTTTCCCCACTTCTTAACTATGGCCTTGCCCATGTGACTTGCTCTGGCCAAAAAGATCTTAGAAAAATATGTCACAAGCAGAGACTCAGCGTGTTGTTAACTGCCTATAGTGGTGCATTCCTGAAATCAAGCACCTGGGAGGCAGGGACAGCAGGATCAGGAGTTCAAGGTACATCACACCCTGTCCCAACAAACAAAATCTCCGCTCTCTCTCCCTCCCAGGCCATCAGATGAAGCAGCAGGGGGTGGGGAAAAGCCAGGTAGGGAGGGCACAGTAGTGACTAGGCCCTCTACGACCACTCTTCTCTGCCACCCACTCTGGCTTTGGTCAGAAGAACTCATGGAATCACAGAAAAGCTTTCTTCCAGCCACTAAATTTGGGAGGGCTTTTCCCTCTTAGCAAAATCTTAACTGATTTTTAAAAAAAGTTTTATGTGTGTCAGTACTTGCTTGTATAAGTGCATCATGTGTGTGCAATGCCAGTGGGGGCCAGAAGAGGGCTTCAGAGTCCCCAGGAACTGGAGTTACAGATGGTGTTAGCTGCCATGTAGGTGCTGGGAACTGAATCTGGGTCTTCTGCAAGAGTAGCTAATGCTCTTAACTGCTGAGCCATCTCTCCAATCCCTTAACTGATTTTTAAAAAGCAGGTTATCAGTTGTTATTGGTAAGGACTGAATGTGGCCAAGTAGAAGCCAGTAAATTCTATTTTTTTCAAGGTATTTATTTATTTTTATTTTTACTATTTTTTTTTCAAAATTTATTTATTTTTATTTTATGTGTATTCGTGTATTGCCCGCACGTAGGTAAGTGCACCCATGTCATGCAATGCCCACGGAGGTCAGAAGAGGCTGTCGGATCCCCTCGGACTGGAGTTATGGACAGTTGTTAGCTACCATGTGGGTGCTGGAATTCGAACCTGGGTCTTCTACAAGAACAACCAGTGTTCTTAACCACTGAGTCATCTCTCCAGCCCCTATTTTTATTAGTTCAAATTATGTCTATGTGTGTCTCTCTCTGTGTCTGGGTATGTGAAGCTGAGTACAAGTGTTCATGTAGCTTGAATCAAGTAGTTTACACATTTCAGGTGGCACTTCCTAGGTTTTATGTGACTATGTCAACTTGCTCTTAACCGCTGAACTATTTATCTTTCAGTTTTTAATCCCCGTGTCTAACTTTGAGTGTTTCCTCACTCGAGTTGCACATCAGAAACATCTATGGAACTCTGAAAAACAAATAAATACTAATGCCTACTCAACAGCATAGCCCAGCACTTAAGAGGCATAGGTGGGTGGATCTTAGTGAGATTGAGGCTAGTCTGGTCTACACAGTGAGTTTCATGCCAGCTGGGGCTGCAGGGAGGGAGACCCTGTCTCAAAATAAAAAAACAAACAAAGCAAAACAAGAACGCTGACAGCAAGGATGAATTCAGATAATGCATACAACTACAAAAAGATGGAAGTAAAACCCTTCACAGTCTGCAAAATCTAATGCCTACAAAAACTACTCATTAACATGAAGGGCACCTTTTACAGTGTGTAGCTTGTGTTCTCTTTTCTGCATCTAGAACCATGAAGGATCTCCACTCATGGCTCTGCCTGAATGCTTCTGGGGTTTTGATGGGGTAACTGTGAATATCATTAAATATTTCTAAGCTGTTTTTTTACATTTATTCATTTGTGTGTGGGCAGAATCCCAAATATGTGCTCAAGATACACTTGTGGTGGTCAGAGGACAGCTTGTGGGAGTTGGTTCTGTGAAAGAAAGTTCTGAGAAAGAACTGCACCTGGAGCTGAACTTCCTGCAAGACTGACCAACTGATTAACACTTCAATGTCTGTGGAAAGTTTGGAATGTGGCAAATCCAGAGTCTAGTCACAAATTATCAGGGGACAAGTTTAGTCCCATAAATAGTCACATCTTGCCCCACACAGTTTGTGAATTATTCTGGTGACTAATAAAATGCATTAACAAAGCCGGGCGTGGTGGTACACACCTTTAATCCCAGCACTTGGGAGGCAGAGGCAGGTGGATCTCTGTGAGTTCAAGGCCACCCTGGTCTACATAGCGAGTTCCAGGACAGCTGGGGCTACAGGGAGACCCTAGCTCAAAAAAAACCAAAAAAAAAAAAAAAAAAGTATTAACAAAAGAAATAGTTCCCACCAATCAAAGGCTGAGAATATCAATGTATTTGAAGTGTCTTGATTTATGACGTTTCTTTGTTCTGTTACTATAAAAAACATAATAAACTGCTACCATCCTGGAACACAGAATTTGGGGTGACCTGAATCTGTGTTCCCTGGCCATGGTCACTCATATTTGATTCCAGAATAAACTATCTCTTATCCCCTCTTATCTCTTATGAGGTGAGAGTTAAGTTTTTGAGTCCACTCCTCTCTCCTTCTACCAAGTACTTTGGGTCAAACTCAGGTCAGACTTGATGGCAGTGTCTTTACCTGCTGAGCCAGCTCACCCACCAATCACTAAAATTCTTCAAAAAAGTGAATGTGTAGGAGGGGGCAACAGCACACAGAGGACCTTATTTTGTAAAGCATCTTTCTGCATAAATAAATCCTCCATGTCACTTTAAACTCAGAACATAAGTTTTCTGTTGTTTTAAAAATGTCGTTGGGCCGGGTGTGGTGGCACTCGCCTTTAATCCCAGCACTTGAGAGGCAGAGGCAGGTGGATCTCTGTGAGTTCAAGGCCAGCCTGGTGTACATAATGAGTTCCAGGCCAGCTGGGGTTACAGAGAGACCCTGTTTCAAAAAGACAAAAAAAAAAAAAAAAAAAAAAAAGAAGGTTTTGAATTTGGGCATTGAACCCAGGGCCTTGTACATGCTAAGCACATGGCTCTACCAATAACCTACATCCCCAACCCCAACCATGTAATTAATAACTAGCTAACTAGCCTGTACTGAACACGGAGAGCAAATAACCTTTTGAAAGTCACCTTTAATGTTAAGATACGCATGTTGGGTTTCTTTAAATCAAACACGTTCAAGTATCCCTTGTACGTTTACCACTTTTCCTGGGTTTATGAGACTTCCAAAAAGTGTTTCCTTAGAACTTAAATTTGATTGGATTCTGGAAACTTGAGAGCTTGCTAATTAAATTTTATACTACAATCTCTATTTAGATGTGTTTATATGTAGCTTGAATCAAGTATTTTACATTTCAAGTGGTATTTCCTGTTTTCTGTGACTGTCAGTTACAAGCTCAACATCGATTTACCTCATTTGGTAAGGTCCTCCTTCAATGCAATCATGTGTGAACACAGCTGGCTGGTACTGTTTGTTTTGCTGCCTGGGAATAAAGTTCTTAATGACTCCATTAGACAAATTTTCATTTTGCTCTACACACAGTGCCTTCTTCTTCACCTTCAAAGCCAGGCACCAGACTACACCCAACTGGCTATAAATCAAGAATTCACCTGCAACTTGTTAATACCTTCCTTCCAAATCCCTGTGCAAGCAGCCAAATAACTCCCATACAGGGAGGACTGTAGTCTAATCTCAGCTCTTGTTTACAGCCCAAGCAGCCAGGTCAAAAGTTGATGAAGGTTAGCAATGAATTCTGTTGTTGCATGTGCTGGTGTGTGTGTGTGTGTGTGTGTGTGTGTGTGTGTGTGTGTGTGTGTAATTTGCATTCTTCTCCATTCTAGGACCAACTAAATCTCTAAACAAGCCTAATAAGCCTAATCTTTTTTTTTTTTTGAGACACGGTCTCCCTGTAGCCCCAGCTGGCCTGGATTCGCTATGGAGACCAGGCTGGCCTCGAACTCACAGAGATCCACCCGCCTCTGCCTCCCAAGTGCTGTGATTAAAGGCGTGCGCCACTACGCCCGGCAAGCCTAATCTTTTATACAGAACTGTAGCACAGTTCTGTCTCTAGTGTTCTATAAGTTAATTTAAAAAAAGACAAGAAACAGGTCTTGCCCTGTGTCTGGGACATGTGGGTACCCTTCCTTTTATGCCCAGATCCCTGGACGTATGCAGCAAAATAAGAAATGTAGGCCTCGGGGCTGGAGACATGGCTGGCCTGCATGCTTCTCAAACATCCATTTAACCTGACCATTTGGATGAAAAGTACTGGGCTTCAATTAGAAGCTGTATAGCAATACAAAACCAGACATCTAATTTATGGGGGCAGAGTAGAAGTGACTGGAAAGAACCCTTAGGGGTTCAGGAGCACCAAGAACATGCTTTCTCATGATGGCTAAACAGGTAAGAGGCAGTTTGAAAATCCAGTGACCTGGGGCTGGGGATGCTGCTCACTGGGTGCTAGCTTAGCTTTGTGACGCCCTAGGTTCAGTCCTTAGCACTGCATTAAACTGGCACACACCTATAATCCCATCCCAGCACTCAGGAGGCAGGGGCAGGAACACCAGGAATTGGTATTAGGGTCATCCTTAGCTTCGCTTCAGTTCAAGGTCAGCCTGAACTAAGAGACTTAGTCTCAAACCAGGAAATTCAGAGATCTGATTGATTCTGATGTGTACAGTTTCTGTACATAATAAGAATCCAATGTTGATTTATAAAATAAAACATATTTTGCACCGAAATGCTGTTTGTTCTGTTCTTTGCCTTTGTTCCTTTCTCTACTGCCCAGGACTGTTTTAGGGCTGGGCACTAGCTTGGAATACCCAGTTTTCAGGTATGGGGGGTTTCACCTATAAGCAGCATAATGCTGAAGATGTCATTGAGCAGTAATGATCCTCATACATTAGGAACTCTGAATTACAGCCATCTTCAGATCAAGAGCAATGACCAAGATTTTCAACTTATATAAAAAAAATAAACTCTTGAACCAACTGAGTTTCAATAAGAAACAAATTAGTAAGTCTTTCATAGTTTAACTGTCTTGTAGTTCTTTCCCTTAAACCTGAGAAACAGTCCTGTGAGTCAAGCAAAACCACAAGAGTTACTGTATGAGGCATTTCCAACGCTGTGGCTACTGGAGAAGCCCATGGAGACAGACTTCAGGTCAAGCCCCTAGCTTTTGATGGAGAGGATTCACTTCTCTCTTCCGCCCTTTCAACTCCACAAGGATCGCCAATGCTCTGACGATAACAAAGCCGTACGGAATTCCCTTGACACACCCCTTCCTACCTTTTGAGAGGACATGGGACAGACAATGACAGGGAGTTGGGCAAGATGCCCAACTCATGGGCTGCTTCAACCTGGTTTCTCATTTGGTGGAACGTTGAGGGCCTCTGTGTGCGTGTGTGTGTGTGTGTGTGTGTGTGTTTCCCCGGGGGAGATTTGGGTCATTTGGAAATTGTGGGTATCCGGTTTTGAGACATCCACATTCTCAAGGTTGCTGCTGGCCCTTGTGTTCCCCAATATTGAAAGACCTGATGCTCCACAAACACCCCGCAGGGCACAACGGGTCCCACTAACTAGCACAAAATTCTTAGTCAATCTGTTCCTCTCACTATACCCCCATGAAGGAAAAGTCCTGGTGAATTGCTGAGGGAGGAAGGGGTTCAAGATGACTGGGTCTGTGTTCTAGAAAATCTTCCAGTTCTTTGAAGCATCTGTGATTTGGTGTTTTATACTTTTCTATTTCCTGTTCCTCATCAAATGTCCTTAATGAGGGCAACTGGGTAGAATTAAAAACAAAACAAAACAAAACAAGAACTAGAAGTTTTTGATACCAAAGACCGGACCCCTTCCAGACACTTTGGTATGTATAAGTCTAAGGTGAATACTATCATTTCCAATTTACAAATACAGAAATGGAGAGAGATTACATAATTTGCCTTAAACCCTACACACCAGGACTTTTCAGAGTTGGGTCTGAAGCCAATAGCTGAGAACACAGGGGTGTCCCCTCTGTCTTAGCACACTGCTAAATATGTACTTAGGACTCTGGCCCAGCACTTGTGGGCACATCACAAAAAGACTCTCCAGAAACTAGTGGAAACATTTCATATTAAAATCAGGGAAGAGGGAGGCTGGAGAGATGGCTCTGCAGATAAGAACATTGACTGCTCTTGCAGAGGTCCTGGGTTTGATTCCCAGCACCCACATGGCAGCTAACTCCAGTTTCAGGGAATCGGACTCCCTCTTCTAACCTCTATGGGCATGACACAATACGGGAGCACTTACATACAACAGGCATGCAATACATTAATACTTATAAAATAAAAATAAATATGGAGGCTGACCTGGGCCCCAAGTCCTGGCAGTGATGACTAACATCCATAAATGGACACAGTCACTGTAACAAGGAAAGAAATTCATTGCTCAGAGGCCATTGTTTCATTAATCCTATTGGTCACAGTATAATATAAATAAGAAAGCCATGACATTTATTACATAGGAGTGCCTAACATGACAGCGGAATTAATGGTGGCTGAGCTGGGAGCTAGGCTCTCTTTTTATAACTTAACCATCTTATAAAATTACGACTGTCCCCACTTCAGAGACCAGTAAGCTGAAGCCCACTTGAAATAGGTTCATCCCTTATTATACAAGAACCTCTTCTGACATCACCTAGTCCAATTTGTTCATTTTACAAGACAGGAAACGGAAGCTCAGGAAGGTTAACTGACATATCCAAGGCAAACAGTAAGAACAGTAGAAATCAATTTTATACCATGGGTAACCTGTTCTGCTCCTTTTTTATAATGGTGTTGGAGATGGCATCCAGGGCTTTAAGCATGCTAGGTAAGAGCCTACCACTAGAGCTACATCCCCAGGCCCCATCAGCCCCTCTTGTACAGACAGCACAGTACATGGACTCTGAAACAATTTTTTTTTAAAAAGCAAAAACAAGCCCATTGTGGTGACATATACCTTTAATCCCAGCGCTTGAGAGGCAGAGGCGGGTGGATCTCTGTGAGACTGAGGCCAGACTGGTCTACATAACCAGTTCCAGGCCAGCTGGGGCTACAGGTCTCAAAAAAAAAAAAAAAAAAAAAAAGACCAAAACCAAAACATTCATTCATAGTTTATAATCCTTTTTGTTTAGTTGCCTACTATTCTTGCTGTGCAGTGGAGTGTTAAGTCAAAGGTGGGGGTCATGGAGATAGCTCAGTCAGTAAAGTGCTTGCCATACAAGCATGAGACCTGTGTTTGGGTTCCCAGCACCCATGCAAAAAAGCCAGGCACAATAGACGGTGCCTAGAATCCTAGTGCTGGGGAGGTGAAGACGGGGATCCGTGGCACCTGCTGGCCAGCCAACCTTGCCACACTGACAAGCTCCAAGTTCAGTGAGAGACCCTGTTTCAAAAGTAAGGTGAACTATCAACTCACAACAGCTGTGGTTGCCTGCACAAGACCAATACAAGATCAAGCCAGTCAAAATTCCAATATGGATGGAAGAAACACTCCTGGGGCCCCATATGTGGCTGACTGCTGGCAGCTGGTGGCTGCTGAGGGATGGAGAGTCCATTTTCTTAGGGGATGTGACCACTGGTAGGTTGTCCATGCCACAGTGATTGCTCTCACACCAGTTCACATATAGTCAGCCTAATTGTACTCAGTGGGTTATATACACACACATCCATGTACACACACAAACTCATACATATACCCCCTGACCATATACACACAAAGGTGGGTTGGGAGTTCAAGTGCAGGTATCATAAAATAAAAGAAAAAGAAGAAGGAAGGAAGGAAGGAAGGAAGGAAGGAAGGAAGGAAGGAAGGAAGGAAGGAAGGAAGGAAGGAAAGTCCAACATTCTTGAGGTCTCACAGTCACCTGGAGAATCTTCCTGTGAAAAGAAGTAAGAACATGTTCCAGTGCTTGGGTTCTCACTATTCTCCAGATATATCATACTTTATGGGGATGATGTTGTATTCAAACAATCTGTTTTGTTTTGTTTTTGTTTTGAGATGGGGTCTTACTGTGTAACCCTGACTGGCTTGGAACTCGCTATGTAGACTAGATGGCCTTGAACTCACAGAGATCTGCCTGCCTCAGCCTCCTGGGTACTGAGAATAAAAGTGTGAACCACCATGCCCAGCTTCAATTATTATATTTAACGAAATCTCAAAGACCTTTCAAACTTCCTCTTCCAACTCCCGCCCCCCAGCCTTGAATTCACAATGTTCCTGTCTTGCTCCAGCTTCCTTAGTGCCAGGATTACAGCACTGAGACGAGGTGATGCCTGGCTCCAAACTTTTTCTTATGTCTATGTCTTAAAATAAGAATCAGCTGGTGTTTGGTTTGGTTATGTAATTTGTCCAGTGTCAGACAAGATGATAAGTGATAAGGCTAGGATTCCAAAGGCCTTTCCTACTCTGAAGTCTGTATTTTCTCCTTCACAACACCCTGATCAGAGAAACCTCATGCAAAGCAATGAATCTTGATAAGTGCGTCTCAAGTTAAATTATATGTATGAAGCCAGGTGTGGTGGTACCCAACTTTAATCCCAGCACTTGGGAGGCAGAGGCAGGTGGATCCCTGAGTGAGTTCCAGGTCAGTTGGGGCTATAGGGAAACCCTGTCTCAAAAAAAGACCAAAAAAAATTTATCTATGAAAAATTGGTAGTAAGATTGACTTCAACAAGGAAAAATATGAGATCACATCAAAATAAAAATCCATTACCAAAGGCAAAATATCTTCATGTTAAATTTCATGATCACACAAACATTGGTTTTATAAACAAAGATGCTTATGAACTAAAATGAACATTTTCAGGTCTTAAGTGTTATAGTGGACCCAAAAATTTATGAGACACATTGCCAGCTTATAGGGTATATGAAATACTGTTACAGAGAGAGAAAAAGCGCATATGTGTGCGTGTGCACGTGCATGCGTGTGTGTGTGTGTGTGTGTGTGTGTGTGTGTCTTAGTTACTTTTCCTGTCACTGTGATAAAATACCCTGACAAAAGTAACTTAAGGGAGAAAGGGTTCCTCATGGCACACAATGGAGGTTATATAGTTCACCATGATGAGGAAGTCCAGGCAGTGGGGGCCTGAGGCTGTTGTCACATTGCATCCACACACAGGAAGAGAAGAGCAAAGAATGCTTTGTACTCAGCTCACCCCTTTTTATTCAGCCCAGGACCCTTCCCAGGGAAGGGTGCAGTCACAGCAGGTAGGTCTTCCCACTCCAACTAACTCCAACCCCCCACAGGCATGCCCAGAGGCCCATCTGCAAGGTGATTCTAGATCTCATCAAGTAAACAACTGAGCTACTTCCATAGTATATTTCAAAAACCCAAACCACTGGACTTAGTACAAGATTGTCAGTTGAATTTTTAAAACAGAAGTAGAATATTTAATAAAAAGTGGAAATAGTTACCCCTAAACACAGGTTCATCTTCCTTCCCAACACCCCCATAAAAAGAGGAATGGGAATCTCGAAAGCAGAAATCTACTTACAATTCGTAAAATGTCCCTGCAGATTCAACTTTTTTAAAAACTTAAGGCAAAGAAAACCCAGTCTGACTGATGATGTGGTATATCCTAAATGTTTAAGTAGGGCGAAAATATTTTCACTTTTCAACCGATTGTTATTATGGGAGTTTATGGGAAACAGTGAGGAATACCTGAACTCTGAATTTCCTTTGAAAAGAGAAAGCTATTCACTTCTGACAATTATAGTCAACTCAAAGATTGGTCATACATTTTACGTTTTTTTGTAAACTGTAACATGTTGATGGTCACTTAGACTAGCTGATGGGCCCAATACTATCCTGGTGTCCACCACTGTGATATGTATTTATAGTGCTTGTTTTTTTTTTAAAAAAAAAAAACTAATGAAGTTTAAAGACTGTCCCTGTGTGGGGAGCTAGGACAGGTACCATTCATTTTAACATTGAGGAAGTTGAACACCCAAAACAGGAAGGATGTGGCGGGACCAGTGAAACCCTGTACAGAATGATTGTGGAAAGACTGTGTGATGCTTTCAAGACCTCACTGTGTGAATTTCCTCTTCCAAGTAATTGTTATATGCTACACAAACAAGTCTTTTCTGGAACTAAAGAAAACAAACCAATCAGTTAAATCCAGTTCCTGTTCCTTTCCT